AAGAAGAAGAAGAAGAAAGAAGAAGAAGAAGAAGAAGAAGAGAAGAAGAGAAGAAGAAGAAGAAGAAGAGAAGAGAAGAAGAAGAAGAAGAAGAAGAAGAAGAAGAAGAAGAAGATTAAACCTTAAGAAGAAGAAAAGAAGAAAAGACGAAGATAGAAGAAGAAGAAGAAGAAGAAGAAGAAGAAGAAGAAGAAGAAGATGAAGAAGAATAAAACCTTACGATTGAACCAGACTTATAGAGATGTGTACTTCTTGGATTCTCATCTTTGGGATATTGATCCTGCAGACTGCAATCCAAGAGGGAACAAACTACCTACCTACTTACCGCCCCGCCCCGACCCCCGCCCCCCACCCACCCTCTCATCAATCTCTTGCTGCAATACCCAAAGCAGAACGAAATAGAAAAACCACGTCAACGAATAGCTATACAAATGAAGAAGATGGAATTGGAGATATCCTATTCATTATTATAGTTATTCTATGGCGTCTTTTGTTCATCGCTGTGGATGGTTGTATATGTTTCAGCAAAGTCTATGGAATAGAAATACAAAAACAAAAAACAAAAAACAATACTGTACTTCTTTTTCTTTGTCTTCTGACTGCTGTCCTCCAGTGGAGCATAGGCCCTCAACCAACTCCCACCAAGTCGCTCTATCCTTCGCTGTTGCATAGACTTTACCCCTTTTCCTCCTCTTTTCAACTTCACACTCTAGCTCCCTTTTTCGTGTTTTTAGGGGGGGGGGGGGGGTTTGCTTTCATTCCTATGCCTTTGTGCTTTCCAATTCAAAGACATTCTAGCTATATTGTTCCTATGTTTCTCAACGTGTGTTGTATCCAACGCCAGCGTCTTCTCTTCCCCTCTTGGTTCACTAAAACTTGTTTAGTTTTCTCCCAAAGCTCTTCAGGAGCGATTCCATCACACCCGTCAATTCCCTCTATTCTACACAGGCACCAGTCAATGAATGTTTGTAATTTTTTAGTAACTGTTTTTGCTGTTCTCTATGTTTCCGATACACATAACAGTACTGGTTTGACATTATAATTAAACATTTAAAGTTTTTAAGTTAAATAATTTTTTTTAAACCCATTGTTATATTGTAGAACTGACATTCCTGTTTTCTTAACAAAATCTAGAAAATACAGGATTACTCAAAATTATTAACACACTTTATTTCATGTATATCTCCATGAATATACATTATATATTGATAAAATACACACGCGCGCGCGCGAGAGAGAGAGGCGGGGGTAGAAAGAGAGAGAGAGAGAGAGACGGGAAAGAGAGAGAGAGAGAGAGAGAGAGAGAGAGAGAGACGGGAATGAGAGAGAGAGAGAGAGAGAGAGAGGAGAAAGATAGAGAGAGAGAGAGAGAGTTTACAAAGGTACAATAGAGGTAATAGATGTTCAATATGGCAGACGTCTGCTGTTCGGCAAACATCTAAGCGGTAGCCGAACTCAGTCCACACACAAAGAAGCTTGCATAGTGTAACCGAGTTAACTGCCGCTGCCACAGGGTTCTGCAGGTCTACAATCAAGTTTCAGCGTTAGTATTCGAAACTTTAGACCTTCCCACATGTAAACTTCGGTGGAAAGTTTCGGTTTTTCACCCACTTTTGGATTGTGGTGTTGTTCCTTAACTTAAGTTTTCTTTGCATATCCGTTTTACAGATATGGTTTACTTGTATGCAGACTGTTGGGTCTTTGTCTCTCTGTAAGATAATGCACTCCGACTTCAAATGAAACCTCTAATTAATCGACATTTACCACCGACTTTTTAAGGAGGCGGTGGATCTATTATTCGCCCTTCTCCTCCTTCCACACACACATATAACAGGGCCCCAGAACTCACCCGGGGAATTGGGCCATGCAAAGAGAAAAGGGTCCGTGTTTGTGGCTTAGGAGTTATGAACTCATTTGTATAATTCCGACATCCTGGGTTCGACTAATCTGTCGGCAATTACCCAGCAGACCTCTTTGCGTTGACTGCGACAAAGGTATCAGCGGCGATCATTGAATGGGGACATAAAGAAAATGTAAGGACCTTTTCACGAATTTGATGCATCGGGCATGTGTTTCTACACCTAAACTTATAGAGACCAACTTCCGTCGTCTTTTCAGGCACTTGTTCTCGGATGTGCATCACACAGGGATGCATGAGAATCATGCCCCCGTGTCGATACCAATTAAATGACATGGATGCAATTCTTCCTAGCCATAACACAAAGAAGGGGTACTATTAGGGAGACCCCGTTTTGCCCATGCAGCGTGATCCCTTACTCAGCCTGCATTGTTACCTCCAAAGGAAAGATAGCACCAAAGCCTTTGGAACAGAACATGCTGCCAAAGCTGCTGGATCAGAAAAACAGGGATTCTCTCTCTACCAATAGAAACTATTATTGTAGCCCAACTGCTACAGAAAGCTTAAGAGCCTGATTTACCTTAGATGTAAAGTACATCTCTTATGTTGAAACACTTGAATATCTATTCTCTCATCTTTCAGGTCACTATGAAACTGGTTCACGAAAACAAGAATTGCGTCCCTTTGGGAAACGCCACAAAATGTGGACCAGATTTGACAGGGCAGCTCATCAACGACGAGATCGCGGACATCGTTGTGGCAATATTCCAGGTTGCCGTTACAGGGTTCATAGCCATAGGAGGAATTGTAGCCAACATCATCAACATTGTGGTGTTCCTTAAGATGGGGCTCAGCGATGCAGTTAACATTAGCCTTTTCGGACTTGCAATTGGCGATATGTGTTCCTTAATATTTGCTCTTTGGGAGGCCATTAGTTTCACACCACTTGTTCAGAACTCTGATGCGCCAGTCGTGTTTACTGAGATAGAATATACCACTGACTGTTGGCCACACGTCTGTTTTGTTCGAGTGACTAGCTATATCACAGCCTTCATTACGCTAGAACGTTGTCTGTGTATAACTTTCCCCCTGAAAGTGAAATCAATCATTACCCCAAATTTAGCTAGAGTTGTAGTATTTCTCGCATTTGCGCTTGTTTTCGCTTCTTCAGCTCCTGATTATTACGTTAATCGTCTTGTATGGAAGTTTTACCCAGAGAAAAACCGAACAATGCTTGGGATTATGTATGTAAAGGATCGGGAAAAGCTAGAAAGGATTTCACAAGTTCTTAACAACGTAGTGTTGCAGTGCATCGCATTTATTTCTGTTGTGGTCTGCACAGTGATTTTAATCGTGCAGCTCAACAGAAAAGCAAAATGGCGACAGCAGACGGCAAAAGGAGAAAAAGCGACGCTGGGAAAGGATCAGAAAGTGATCAAAATGATCAGTTTTATTGCTGTTATCTTTTTAGTCAGCAACCTCCCTTCCTGTCTTGTGTTCATAGCAATGACCTCCACTCCACAACTTCATCCAAGTGGCGTTAATTATAATATGTTCTACGTCATATGGGCGGTTGTCTACGTCATGGAAGCGTTAAACTCTACAGTCAACATCTTTATCTACGTCAAGATGAGCTCTAAATACAGAGTCGTTTTCTACAAAACCTTCGCTTGCTGCTATGGTTGTGATTCAGCGTCGCAGATGCCAAAATCCGCTGCAGACGGAAACCAAGAACCGGTAATTTTCACCAACAATAGCGAGCCTACAGGAGAAATTGCTCGCAGCAATGGTCGAACTCTGACCACTTACTTAGAAGAGAATGAAGAAAGATAAAAGTCTCAAGTATTTTTAAAACAATCACAGTGCCGGACATTTTGAAAACAATGTTATTGTTGCCGACTAAATATTCTGAGTATAAAAATCTCAGACATTTTCAAAAGAATCATAGTGTCGGATATTTTAACACCAATCGTATTGTTGATAACGAAATCTTATGAGTTTAAAACTCCCCTTTTCCCTTTGAACACAAATGCTGTCATCCCCTTGTGGGATGCCATTTTTCGTTATTTGAAGCCCTACTCTGGCTCTTGCCAGGGGCCGCAATATAGCCCTGCTATAATTATGGTCTAATGGCTGAACGCGGTTTCTGGGACCTCACCACGGATGATACTCATCCACATGGTGGCACTTTGTGTCATCTGGTGTTTATCGCTTGTGTGATGTCCTGTTGGGGTACTACTACTTATACTACTACTGTTTGAACACAAAGTGCCGGTTATCTTTAAAACAATGATAATGTTGCTAGCGAAACAAACATGAGCTTTTCTGGCTATTTCGTGTAGATTTCAGAACTGCAAACACTCGATGTCATCAACTGGAAAGAGAAAGCCAACCAGAAAGATGAATCGAGGGGGGTGATATGTGCAGCAATGAACCTCAAGGGTTCAGAATGTTGAAGAAGAAGACGAAGATTTCGTGTAGACTTGGTGTTTAGCTCCAGCTTGACCGTATCGCCTATAGCAGCACTGTACTGTAGACTACAATGCTGTTGTTCTATATACATTAGATGTAAACAATGTATTGCGATCTAAACAGAAATAAAACACAACAATTTTATTTTTAAGGTGCTTTGTTAAGATTTTAATTCATGTTTTGCAACTGATTTTTCATGTACTGACAACCCCTAAATTCGGTAAAGAAGATGGTAATACTGTGGCAACATCTTGTTGGGGACAAGGAATCACAAGACAGACGCGAAAATGGGAATCAAATGGATAGAGGAACTAGAAAGCCCAAGAAAGTCGAAGGTTAATGAGATTGGGCAAGGGCGCCTGGTTGGATTTAATCCATGATGCAGGATGAGGCAAAATGGAAGAATCATCTGCCAACCCTGTATGACGTCCGAAGCTACAATGATGAGTCACCATTATCATCATCAGTTTCCACTTCTGCCGTTAAGCTGTGTGGGGAGGAACAGTTGGCAATCCGCTGCTCGATAGGCAGCAATGACTGATGTCATTCCATGTCAATGAAGAAGCTATTTAATGTTTAAATCTATCTTCTCCTAGGACAGCCTCTTGCTTTCACTTCAGATCCGTTCATGTGTACCGCCTCTATTGGTAGTTGTTCTGACTGCATTCTT